AAACATAGCACATTACAAGCCTATTGTTTTGCTTTACAATATTTGTTATATTTAAAAAATCGTGGTCTTCTAGTGCATCACCATAACTTATTTAACAACTCCCTTAATTATGAACGTTTCTGTTGTTAATAGTTTTACTTTCTATTTCCAATCTGTCTGTTAGGAAGTAAAAACAGAACAAAACAAAAAAACCCTATACAGAATAACTTTGAATATTTGTGGGATCTTTATGTAGGGTAAATTGTTTAAAATGGAATTGCTAATCAAAAATCTGTATATTTTATGTTTTAATAAATATCGGTAAATAATTTTGTACTCACAACCACTTGCCAATTCCAAAAATTATCAATTGTTTATTCAGTAATCTCATTGGTGAAATTATTCCATTATTTTAACTTGTGTTTCTTTATTAATGAGATTGAACATTTCGCCTATTTATTATATTTTGTGAATTATCTGTTTATTTCCTCTGTTCATTTTGGTTGTTCGTTGTCATTGTCAAATTAAGTTAGATGGTCGAAGTTGTGTGCCTCTTTGTGTGTTTGAGTGTGTGTGTGTTTACAAGTAAATATGATCTGGTAGGTAGAAAAATATGACAGGCTGCAGACTGAGAAATACGTGGTTATTTTACAAATGTAGAATTTACCCAGTTCCTGAGACAGATGTGTTTTCCCCCTATTAAAAACAATAATCTAGTATCCAGTAAATTGTATTATCCACTGAATAATAAATTATTTCAATAATAAAATAAACAATATTAATCTGATTCAAAATAAAAAGATTTAGTATCTAATTTAAATTTTCAATTCTTAATTAATGTAGCTCTGTTTTAACCATTGTCCATGTTCTTTTCCAAGAGGAAAAGAAATGTTAAAAACTTAACAACTTATTAAAGGAGGTTAAAAATATTCTTCTGAATAAGGAGCCTTATAAACTCAGGAGAGAGATTTAGACTCATTTCTTCCTTTTCATGCCTTAAATATTATACCTAAATGCTTCTTTGTACATCAGAATGAACGCATTTGTCACCATCTGATCTGATCAAATGACTGCCTAACTCTTCCTCATATTTCTGTTGCAGAGACATTAAGAAGAAAAAGCAGCAAGCAACTGAGACTG